CTCATTGACACGTTTCCTACATTTTATTGTTGTGTTGCCATCTTAATGACATATAACATGTTTTGGCAGTTTGATTGATGTTTACACTATATATAATTTCCATAAAAACGATTGTAATTATTCACTCTTCGTTTCGCCCAATTTTCTGTATAAATGAAATTATTTGCTTGAGTATGCAATAATCAATCAGGCAATAGTTCTTGCTCTTTTGTGACATTAAGAAGTATCTGAAACATATGAACCCTTTTCCTTACACTCTATTACGAAGGTATATTGTGGACATTTGATGTGTTGCATTGTCGTCTGCCTGTACCCCAAGGGTGACTGCGGAATAGAAATATGGTCACTTGGGTCTTCTTCCTACCGACAGTAACACACTTGTCAATGTGGGGCGTCCGTTAGGCTATGCGGGATTTACAAGTACGAACTCACGTCTGGTCAGAATGGGGATGTTAAATCCGATGCCTCGTGTACCGAGAGAGTGCCACGCTCTTTGCACTTTAAGAATCCTTGCAATAACTCTTTGAATGGTCCGTAGGTGGCCTGTTGCAAGGCTAAATTTCTGTCCCATCCAATATACCCTTATTTAATAGTGGCAGTCCATACTTCCCCGACCATCATCCCGGACGGGCTCTATTACAGGACCTACCTAATGTATTTCTTGTTAAATTGTTCTTGTCCTGAAATATTTGCCACTGAACTTTAAGCAACCAACAATCAATCAAACAATCGTCTGCCTGTAGATATAATAATGGTTAATGGGAGATCTCTTTGTTATCGATGATCAGTCTTCCTGATATTTTAGCACTGGTTAATGCCACTGAAGACGGGATGGTTTCGCATATAAAATTTTTGTGCCTATCAATTTCAAACAATATCCAAATTTATTAGTATGAACTTTTTCTTTTATTTTCATATCTATCTAAAGGTTTATCGTTCAATTGGTTTTAGGAGCCTCGGTGGCCGAGTGGTCTGAGTAGTTCTCTAGTCTATTATTTCACTAGCCTGTCAACATCGAGGTTGTGATTTCGAATCCAGCACGTGGCATGTGCGTTCTACTCCAATCTTAATGCCAATGTTCCTGACGAAGGTCGATGGTTCTCTCCGGCTTCATCCACCAATAAAACTGGTAAAAAGTAAACAAATCCTTGATATCTTTTCCATTATATTCATTTATAGACATATCATGCCTGTAGTTTTTTCAACAATTCACTGATGTTTTTACTGAGAAATGAAAGCGCTAAGTCATTACATTGACATTTTTTATTAATTTTCCACAGGATCCATTGCATGTGAATTTTGTTTGTGAGATTTGACTTAGCCATTATGGATTCCAAGATAAGATGGATTAGATTGACTAGTAAACGTATACGTATAAAAGATTCATAGTGTGGCCATTTTGTACTGTCCATGTATTTTGTTTAATATATTTACAGTATATGTTACCGTTACTATATACGAGGGTCTGGATAAGCGTCCATCAATTCTGTATTCCTAAATATTTGAAGCCATTTCTCTATTCTTTATAAATTTTGCCCATTACTTTATTCTCTCCCCACCCCCACTATTTTTCACTATTCTTTATTTTTGAGCCCATTTTTTTTTTGTCTTATTATTCTCTATTCTGTAAACCCTATCAAGACCTTTATACATCGTCATTAAGATATACTTATAAAGGATTTAAAAAAATATATGAATTTGAAGTTCTTTGAACTTTTCTCGTATATCATCCAAACACCCCTCTTTTCGGTATATAACATGCTCGTCATGGTTTTCAATCAGATTTGACCCCGTTCTTGTCGTTTTTGAATGAAGGGAAATGTTTGTAGCATAATACTGTACCCGTCCCGTTATATCATGTGTATCCGCATATTCCTTTATAAACTTGTTGTATTATCCCTTGTCGTTCTTCTGCATTGGTGATTAGATGAAAATAACTTTTCGATTCGTCCATTTTTTGCAGTGTCTCTCATCAATGTTGTATTGGGACCAAGATGCAACATTTCGTCACTTCCCCATTTTCTTATTTTCTGTTAAAGCGCATCTATATCTTATCATCTTGTATGTATAAAGTAAATACAGTAAATGTTTAACCGTCAAAAAACGATGATACACCGCTATAAGGCCTAAAAAAATGTATTGTAGATACATTTTCCTATCGCTGGCCATTGGTATATCACGAGTTCACAGTCTTCCATGTTTTTTGTTTTTTTGTTTGACATAATATGTATTTAGATGTATTTATATATTTGTGCTAATCTGTCAGTTAAATCACAAAGGCTACAGTTTACATTATTCAAAATTATTCAGATTTGGCCCCCAGTCGAGGTTTCTGTACTTTTAAATAAACCAGGTACAGAGTATGATGTGAATCCCCCATTATGTATGCAGTTGAGTATTACAGATTGTATAAGTATGAATAAAGAATATATTAAGTGAACACATGCTTGACACATTTCAATTATAATTTGAAACATGATCATTTAAATAAAATTACAAATAAATGTAAAGATATCTAAAGACCGAAACAACTTTTATGTAAATTCAAAAGATAGGCAATTCAATTGTCGGAACTAGATATATATCATTATTGTTAAACGCATAATACCACACTGCCTTAACAATTAAGGCCAATAAAAAATTTTTTAACGTCCAACCATTTCACCTCTTAAACTAATAAGGGAAAACAAAGGTCTTCCGCATGTATATCATTAAACTGTTTGAGTTTTCACCATTTGCCATTGGCGAAAAAATCAAGTGCATAGATGAGTGATATGTGATATGTATGAGAAAAAAATGTCCACATTTATAAATGTATATATATTTTCTCAATTTTTTTTTTTTTTTATGTCATTTGAATATAGCATTGGGAAAATATTTTATGTAACAAAGATTTTTTTAACATTTTCTAATCTGTATATTTAAACCAATCGAGTAAACCTTACCTTGATTTATTTCATGACAATTCTACTAATTTTTGGATTGCCACTGAAAAAGAGGAACGAAAGATAGCAGAGGGACAATCAAACTCATAGATCGAAAACAAACTGACAACGCCATGGCCAAAAATAAAAAGACAAACAGACAAATAATAGTACAGATGACACAACATAGAAAACTAAAGACTAAGCAACACGAACCCCGCCAAAAACTGGGGGTGATCTCAGGTGCTCCGGAAAGTTATACAATTATCTTAAATATCTAAACTCTACCCGTTATAACTCGTGTTTCGTCAGAGATCTTATGATGGGTCACAAATTTGATCCACTAAGATGTCTCATGGGATAAATCTTATGATGGGTCACACATTCGATCCACTAAGATGTCTCATGGGATAAATCTTATGATGGGTCACAAATTCGATCCACTAAGATGTCTCATGGGATAAATCTTATGATGGGTCACACATTCGATCCACTAAGATGTCTCATGGGATAAATCTTATGATGGGTCACACATTCGATCCACTAAGATGTCTCATGGGATAAATCTTATGATGGGTCACAAATTCGATCCACTAAGATGTCTCATGGGATAAATCTTATGATGGGTCACACATTCGATCCACTAAGATGTCTCATGGGATAAATCTTATGATGGGTCACACATTCGATCCACTAAGATGTCTCATGGGATAAATCTTATGATGGGTCACAAATTCGATCCACTAAGATGTCTCATGGGATAAATCTTATGATGGGTCACACATTCGATCCACTAAGATGTCTCATGGGATAAATCTTATGATGGGTCACACATTCGATCCACTAAGATGTCTCATGGGATAAATCTTATGATGGGTCACACATTCGATCCACTAAGATGTCTCATGGGATAAATCTTATGATGGGTCACAAATTCGATCCACTAAGATGTCTCATGGGATAAATCTTATGATGGGTCACAAATTCGATCCACTAAGATGTCTCATGGGATAAATCTTATGATGGGTCACACATTCGATCCACTAAGATGTCTCATGGGATAAAGTTTGATATAAAAACGAAGTGAAATAACAATGACAAAGACGAGACAAATTCGTTAATTCAACATAGTACTATAAAGGGATCAGATTATACCATGACCGAAAATCCAGACCATTTTATTGAGGTTGTTCTATTTGTACCTGTACTTTTTTTCGCCAAACAAATCCCGCTGGAACATATGTTTGTCATAAGACAGGAAGCCTTTTGTACATCTTAATATCTTGTCCTTAAGAATTTGAAGATCATTCACATTGTACATTTGATGCAGAATTGTCGTTTCAATAACAATCGACCCTAATCTCCTTCTATTTGATTCCAATTGCCTTTGGTCATGAGATGGACCTTGGACTAAAATGAAAGGAGGGGGAGGAGAGGGAGGAATATAATGGGAACATTTGTATAAAATTAATTTATTCCTAAATGTCATGAAACTAAGGGGACCAACATTTGTTGTTGGGTTGTTTTTTTTTGGGGAGGGGGGGGGAAGGATTTGATCTTTTCGAGCTCATATTTATTTTCATATCTGTTGCTACTCATGCTTATTTATTTTCACTTTCGTACACATTTGTTTCCTTCATTTTGTGTTGCAGAATATTCATTTGCATCCTGTCTTTCGCAAAGTTATTTAGTTTCAGTTGTTACCAGACCAAGTTATTCATTTATAAAAATCCTCCTATCTTTCCTGGTTGTACATGATTTAAAACAGAACCACAGAAAAAGAAACCCTTAGCCTTGGGGTCAGAGGTGACTTGTCAGTGCATGATTGATTTGCAATCAATCAGATATTGTTACTGAACGAGGACTTCGAAAATAAGACTGTCCCTTTAAATTCTCATATGGTTAAAGTTAATTTAAATTTTCATATGGTTTTAAACATACACAAATGCTTGAGGATTACTGCAATTTGTCATACGTATACAAAGTTATATCATTATTCGGGAATAAATATAGTCAATTTAATGGTAAGCTTGTGTTTTGTAATCACTTTTCTTTAATAATTTTTTAATCTTACGAACAACATGGCTTCAGTGTAGTCTAACTATTTTCTCAAAGCTCAACATATAAGGTTAGTTGAATACATTTGAAGTATTGGGTTTCCGCTAGGAACGAGACCACGGTTTTAGCTTAAGAGATAATTATCAGATAGCTTCAGTTCTAAAACTGTAATTTAATATCATTTCAAACTGCATAGGAACGACAAGTTTACCTCACTCCGTACCGATTGGATAGCTTACAAGGCAAATCTTATCCAAATTTGGAAAACAAATTAAGTGCAATATAAGAGGGTATGTATTCTTTAAATTTTTAGGGCATTTTTCTTTATCTTTAAAAATAACATTTATTCTGTAAATTTTCATGAAAACGATTTTACTGTTAATTTTTTTTTGTAATATGATGATCTCTTTATTAATTACATCATTCATTTTTGTAATCAGTATTTATATTGTATTACCTAATTCTTTTATTTTCCATAGCTATGCTTTATACTCTTTCTTTATTATTTTATTCACTCATTTTTTTTTCTCTATTCATTATTTTTGTGGGATTATTATTCTCTGTTCTGTAAACTACACCAAAACTCTCATATAAAACCGTTCTCGAATAAAGAAAAACGTAACTATCTAAAAGCAGATTCTACAATTTAAAAAACTCGATGTCTATTAATGTGATGGCCGGTTACAAATTAGCCATATTCAATACTGTCTTTATTTATAAAGATTATTATCCTTTGACAATATTCAAACTTTTGTTTTGTCATAGTTATAGATATATAGGTTATTTTTATTTTATTATCATTTTTGTGTAAATACTGGTAATACAAAAAATTGAGGTGCGTCGGATAGAAATCGACCTTATGCAAGTGCACGTTTTCATGTACATGTGTAAGACTGTACTTGATTTTCAAACATTCAAATATGAAATAAGAGATGAATGTTGGTCTGTTTTGTAGGGTTCTTATATTAACTCAATTTTCAAGCAGTTGTAGACTTTGCATTGAGGTTTTTTTAACCCGAAATAGGTTAACAGATGTATTGATATTTATTTGCATAAGGTCGATTTCTATCCGACGCAGCTCAGTCATAGAACATACGCTCTTTGATTTTCTATTGTTTTTAAACAAGAGCCAAACAAACTTGTCATTTGAAATGTATGGAAATGTCCATCGTGGAAATTCCTAGTTTATGGTTTGAAAATAAATAAATGGGGAGAAACTACAATTAATTCAGTAAAAGAAAACATTTGTCGAAGAACGATAGATGAGGGTCTGGATGGAGGTCTTTCATTTCTTTATGCTTTAATTTTTATACCATTTTTCTCTATTCTTTAGTTATTTTCCCCATTATTTTCTTTCCGTATACTAGTGATTTAACATCCCAGTATTCTCTGTTCTTTTTTGTTTATTCTTTATTATTTTAACCCATTATTCTGTAGATTTTGCACACTATTCTCTATTCTATAAACCCACACTCGTAGACAATATCAAGAAATAAAAGAAAAAAAGACGATCAGACAAACAAACATCAGTCCACGAAACGTTACGTGGGAAAGTAAACATTGACCAGCAGGAACCCAACTAATCAAAAACCGGGGGTGAACCCAGGTGCTCCGTATGGGTCGACAGTTACTGCTCCACTAACTCCCAAGTGTCCCCTCTCCTTGAGATCTACACACGGTTGTAGGGCAAGGGCTTGTAATTTACAGTTCAGTAGAATATATTGAAGACTAACCGTATTAAGAGACAGTTGTGATTTATTTTTGTATAGCAGTTGTCGAATAAAGATATCGATATTAAAATGTTTTAATCAAACACATATAATATATTATTTCAAAGGATTTAATTTAGTTTTCTATTTATTTTCAAAACATTTATAAATGTAGTGAGTAAGTAAGTATATATGTACTAAGTGAAAAATAATTACAATCTATGATTTCCAGCTGCTTATTATATTTGTATAGTATTTGTTTAACAAATGGAGCTAGGGTTCAAATGCATATTAAATTCAAGTATCGTCAAAATATGACAATGACCAAGAGTAGTGTTTGTTTTGTCATTTACTTATAATCAGTTAATCATATATTTTATTTAAGACTGAAGGACGGCGTGTAACAGCTTTAATATCAATGTTACAGATTCTTATAACATGTGCTCTCAACATATACAAAGAGAATATACCATCATGATGACTTAATGTCTTTTCTTGACACATGATTTCACTCTTCAATATCTTTCCGATTTGAAAAATATTGTTTTTAAAGAAAGGACATATTTTCATGCGGTTTGTTGTTGTACATTGTTCCATGATTCATGGACTTTTAGGTTAGGTACTGAATTGAAGGTTAAATGTCAGAAAACTATCGTGGAGTTACTCAATCATTGGTGCACTTAGCTGTAGCTGCAACTACAATACTAAAAATGCACAAACGAATGTTTTTTTCTCTCTTGCAATTTGGACATAACATCTAATAATTCAATATAATCGATTGTATCTATATAAGGTATCCATATACACGATTCTTGTTGTCATTTGTCTTTTTGCTAGTTGCCTTTCTGCTCAGCACCGACCTGATTAGTCCCTTCCAACTAATTTGTACAGCTCTTAAAACGTTGTGCCGTTGCGCCACTGTTCCAGCTTACAAACATGCTTAACCGCGCAATATTCTTTATATTCAATTTTTTTATCATTGACGGATTAAATAATATCTCCATCGATGATGTATCATTCACGATTCATTCTTTTGCTGGTTAATTTAAGTGTAGATTCTGGTCATTTGTTGTTCTTTATGTGAGCAAACAGTTCTGTTTATTTTTTGACATACTTCAGAAAAAACAACAACGAAAACAACACCACAAAAAAATACTTAGTGTCTCCATTCGCATTTCGTTTCCTAATAACAAAATGTGATTCAAACTATCAGTTATATACACTTATTTGCAAAGCATTTCGATTTTGCTTGATGAAGTGATTTTCAGAGTTGGAAAACACTAAATTACCAATTAGAAAAAAAATATTTGCTGGCCTTCAACATATTCTACAATAGAAACACTTAAAGGTCCTTACCGACTAGACTAACTAACAAATAGATAACAAAAGACGAACCAGAAACTCAATTCTTAAGATAGAAAAAGAGAAAAGTAGATAGATGAGGTATATGAAAATAAGATGCTGTGGTTGATTTTCAGTGAGACAACTCTCCACAATGACCAAAATGACGTAGAATTTAACAACTATATAGATCAATATACGGCCTCCAACAATGAGCAAAACATATACCGCATACTTAACTTTAAAAAATCCCGAAATGACAAATGTAAAACATTTCAATCGAAAATGGATTGCAGATATAACAATATAATATAATAGTTATTAAATCAAATCAAATCAAATCAAATATTTTATTATAGTCTCACCTCTCTTCATGTACAATACAAACATGAATACAATATCTATAGCATGTTTTAATTAAAAGTACAAAACAATCTTAAAAACATTCGAGAGCCACTCTCAAAAGAGTTATGAGAGACTTTTACATAAAAATGGACAAATCGATATTATAGCTTTAAAAACAAAACTTTCACCATTTCTTTTTTTTTCAGTCAGTTGGTATACCTGAGGCATGATTTCATCGACACATCTGATTAGCAGATTATGTAAATAAGCTGTTTACCTGAGGAGTGATTTCATTAACACATCTGATTAGCAGATAATGTAAATGAGCTTATGGAATCTGTGAAAACACCACACATTCTTCCAAATATTAACAGAGAAGATTTCACTAGGTCTCACACGCAGGTATTCAAGCAGACGATTGACAATCCACGTGATCATGACCTCAAACGAAGACAAACTTTGTGGTCGTTTCAAAATAGGAATCGCGGTGTTCAAAGAAATTTAAAAGGACAAGATATTAATGAATCTTTAAGTGATGCCGATTTAGATGAAACTAATACTACCGAAGACGAAAACAAGGGAAAATCTCAAAAACGAATAAACTTTCCAAGACTCAAACAGAGAGTAAAAGAGGCTTTCGCGTCGCCCGTTTCAGATGAAACAAGCAATGTAAAAAGGGAGTATTCTTCCGCATTACGAATAGGCACCAATTTGTATGAACAGCTGAGGATAAAACAAAAGTTAGATAAAAGAAACAGTTTTCCAAAAGATAGGCCTTTATTAAAATCCGTCGATAAATTTCCAGAAGTGACTTCATCTCTAACAAAATTAAGCTACCTAAAGGCAGCAAAAAATGTAGTTCACTATGGCGGAGGATTCTTTGGACGGAGCAGTTATGCAGACAGGAGATACATGGACTTCCGTCGTTCACAGACAATGCTTAGTCCATCAGAGTCAAAAACAGGGAACAGCGAACCTCATTTGGTTAAGAAACCTATTTATGGATCCTTAAAACAATTAAATTTGGATGATAAAAAGAGGTTTAAGTGCAAGACAGACATTGAATCATGTGAGGTACTGAAAGTTAGTTCACATGAAATTAGCGAAAGAGGCTTGGAAGAACATCGGACGTGTCATCATTCGACACAAAAAAGAAAGTTTGAGAAGGAAAATGAAAATAAGTCCAAAAAATCAAAAGAAGATATCATAGAAATTGAACTTTTGTCAGAAAAATATTCGATAGATTTTAGTAAGACTTACTTAGAAGATCTTCAACAAAAACCTGTAGATGTAAGTATGGAAGAGGACGTCATTCGGAACGAAGCATGGCAAAAAGATATTGATTTGATCGTTGCCAGACACGATGTAGAAACGCTAAACGGACGAAAGACTACGAAAGGAAATATAATGCTTACCAAAGCATCTCAAACAGGAAAATCGGATACATCCGACGGACGGCCCGAATCGAACGTCAGTTTAGATATGCCCGAAGACCAGTTTGGTCCGTCTTCATATAAGCCTGATGAAGGCACACATAGGCTGTTAAATGCGGCGTATTGTATAAATCCATACAAATGGACATCGAGGTCATCTCTTACTGCGGGTGATAGGACATGGGTTGAAAAAGCCATGGAAAGAACGGACATAATTGACACGACCATTTATGACGGCTTTGCGCGTAAGAAGTCCAAATCCATGATAAAAAATAGTGACCATTTAGGAAAAGAAAAATCCACAGTTTCTTCGAAACCACCTTAACAATTTTGTGTGGATGTTTTTCTTGTGCAATGTATTAACATTTTGTTACATATTGGATAATATATTTATTGTGATATGTTGTAACTATATATAATTTTAAAAATAATAGCTGAGTTGTGTCACCCACGTCGAAAGCATTGGAAAAGTCGATAGGAGGTCGCTAAAGGTCAACGCTTAGATTCGACTACTCTCAATTTCATACCCCATTGTTTAATGATGTGAGACAGTGTAATTAGGAGTTTTGCTCAGTTCTAGTTATTTCGGACACACCGTATGGGAGCGACACCGGATATCGGTGGTAGCGGAGAGAGGTTGCAAAATGGAAGCTGCCGTACATATCAGTACATAAGTTACCGTACACTTTCGAAACTTTGTCTTCGTGATTTTACATAACGTTTAAAGACAAGTTATGAAAATTATGGTCTAGTGTATTTAAAGAGGGTCATAATTGAATAATAGGAAGAAATATCCAACCTGTAGAACATTAGACCGTCTATTTTACCTGATCTGAAGTAATCGATGCCTCGTTTTTCCGGTACTAGATGGTAGTTTTTTGTTATCTCCAAATTTAATTTACGCTGATGTCTGACATTCCTACATGATTTGGTGAACAGATCAATTCACCACATGTAATTATACAAATCTTTAGACACGTGCAATATAATTACAAATGCATAAAAAATTGGAATTCTTACACAATTTTACAAATTCTCTACGCTTTAGCTAGTACCAATATCCGGTGTCGCTCCCATACGATGTGACAGTAACTCTTTAACAACTGACAAACAATGAAAACTTCAGAGAATCTTAAGTATCTATTTAATGACATGATGTACCTCTTATTTAACTTTTTTATCCAAACAGAAGAGCAAGGAGTTTGCCAAATCTCCAAACATATACATTTTGTATATGTGACTTCTCCGAAACAACAGACTAGAATTATCTGACATTTTATAGAAAAATTTACGTACAGGTAACCTAGCTAGCATTAACTTTTTAAAATCTGAATTATTCCTCATGGGTTTCAAATGGCAAAACATGGAATTCATCAGTTATCACCAAAAGGGAATAGGCATTTTTATTCTCTCTTATCTTGCACTAAACATGACGTCAAAGGAAATTTCTCAGAATCTATCCTATATTATGACATTTTTAAACCCGTCGAAGACAGGCCGTATTATGGTATACCGTAGTGCGTCCGTCCGTCCATTCGTTCATTCGTCCGTCAACACTTCATACGATAATTCAAATTTGCTTTAACCAATTATTCTGTAATTTTAACACAACATTAAGATTGACGGTAGGAAGCTCCAAATCGATTAAAGAATCGCCTATGTTGTTCCAGAGTAACGGAACTTTTAACTATTAGATTTAAGGCAACTTTTCACATATCATGCACTCCATAATGATTATGCATTTATTGATTACTTACATTATTGTTTGGACTGATACAAGCTTTCTGTATTTGAAATTGCCTGGTTTGTCGTTCCAGAGTAACGGGACTTTAGTTGTCAGATTAAACACACGTTGTACCATAACTTGAGATTGCTTGGATTGTTTTACATAATTGTTGGAATTAGTGAACATAAGATACCGTTTGATTTAAAAAAAAAATCCAATATGTCATGCCAGAGTTACGGGGCTTAGACCGTTAGAAAGATAAGCGGTATTGCACTAGCGATCAAATTACTACAAACTGGGAGTGGTAAACGAAGAATAGCTATTGATTTTGAAAATTTTCTGGTTTGTCTTTCCAGAGTAACCTGACTTTTAACAGTCATATTTGACGCAATATTTATACGTCCAAGGGTATCCTCATGCATGTTTTTTTTTTTACTACAGAGCCATTTTATTTGCTTCTGATTAAATGCCTTCTAAATATCTCATTTTCTTCTTGCAACAATTTCAACATGCACAATAAGGGCATATCATGCGCCCTTGGTGCAGCTGCTTATTTTATTGGCAATCATTCGTTAGGTAACCCATATCAATACATTACCTCTACCATGCCTGCAAACACCAACCCCTAAACCGCCGAATGAAGTTTTTTCTATAAATCTCATTGAAGTTAAGGAGTAAAAAAAAATTGCAGACAAAAAGTACGGACGAACAAACGAAAATGGCCACAATGATTGCAATACATGATTCCGTTAACCAAAAAAGTTAAAAATATCCGAGTCAAATTTTTTGGGATTAAAACGGTAAGAATCAAAAGTTTAGCGCTCCAAAATCCAAAATGAATAAATGTTTTCAAAATTTTGCCAGGGAGGCAGACATTTATAAGCACTTAAACACATAGCTGTTATCAATAAATAAATATATATATATATACCACCGAAAGCTATACTTTTATAATGGTTCTTCTTTCAGCGGGATTCGAACCATTGCTTCTGTGACATCGTGGCAACACCGCCTGCACCGTGTCCAGCGCCCTAAACCACTCGAACACCTAGGCCGACCATGCAAGACCCTCATGGGTAGTCAAGGTCGTTAAAAACCACCCTCATCACCAATTTCATAGTAATAATGCATACAAAAAGGACATGACAAAGTATAAAAGAACATCTTAAAAATATTTATTTTGATATTCTTGACTTTACGACTGAAACAAAGTATATTTGTATTAAGCTTATAAAATATAACTATGGCTTTTTTAAACGTGGTGTGTTTAAAGCTGAAGATTCAGCAATGCAAGAATATTTTGCAAAGGCTACAACGATTCTTGTGAAATTGCTTAAAAGTGTTTCACCCTTTGATCTTTATAAAAATAAGAGATGTGTTATGATTGCCAATGAGACAACTATTCATAAGAGACCTAAACACTATAGGTCACTGTACAGCTTTTACCAATTAGCCAAACAAATACCGTATAGATAACAATGAAAGGCACCGACTATTTTATATTCATTTTTTCTCGGATTGAAAATGTGATTCAATGTTTATGTATGTATGCCAGGGCTGATATGCATAACACCACTTAAGTTAAGATATCCAATCGTAGTACTAATTTATCGTAGGACATGTAGAAAATTCCGTCCGTTCGGAACAATTCTTAACTTAAGTAGTTTTATGCATATCAGCCCAGGTTTTCATATACCAATCCTATTTCTACCCAGATTTTCCTCTTTTACATATTTTTAAAAAGTATCAAATATTGAGGAAGTAAGGAGAAGAATCTAAATTAAGAATTAATGTTATGTGTTCTTACACCACGTGTGTGTGCGTTGATTGATTGATTAATTGACTGATTGACTGACTAAATTGATTGATTGGCTATTAACGATTCAAATGTGCTAAGTCAAGAGATAAATGTGTAATATTATAGTTAATTCCATTTTCTATCAAAAACTGAAAAACGGTTTCGCTCGGTGTAGTAAATATAGTTGATATAAACATGATCAAACATATGTGTACGAGTGTATACAAAATCTTTACATTCTTAAAACGCATGTTTGATTTACTTGCAATTGAGAATACATGTATACTGATTTTTAACGTATTTGTGTAGAATAAAGAACAAGCATTAAGCATTAGATTGGCTTGTGGATACTTAGAGACGATTTTGTGTTTGAACTTGTTTTATTTTGCTGTGCTACCATATAATTTTAGTGATTTTAAATTCAGGTGCGGATAATAACTACAGATTATAGGTTTATCTATTACAAGGGAGGAAACTATACGCTCTAGTCAAAATATAGAACTTTTTGTTATAAACTTTTTTTCGTATACCTGCAGAAAATATTGGGGCGAATATCAGAAACGGTAAGAAATCGATTTTTTTCCAATTCAGTCTCCGTAAAACAATTCAAAAGTATGTAGTTATAATACGTATCAATATTACAACAATGTTTTAACACAAAGTTTTCATTGAAATCATCATTTAAATTTTCACCAGGTGAGTGACCTTATTCAATTCAGCAAGATAATATCTCCCTTTTTATATAGGTCAAATAAATATCGCATGTAGTTTCCTGTGCACTCTAATAAGACGAGTGATTTTTGATAAGGTATGGTATATTTTATTTTAATTTTTGTTTGCATTTGGAGAAGGGGGGGGGGGGGGGGGGGGGTCTACATGTGGTATTTCTATATAATGTCTTAATGTTAATTATATATTACACTGTGACAGGATTTTAAAAAATGTCCAGCTACTCATAGTAAATAGTCCAACATTTAAGTATCTTATATATGATTAACCGTCACACATTAGGAATTTCATCCAATATTTAGTTTATATATATATTGATAAAACCTGCTGACCATGAAAATGTTCAATTTGTTAAATATAGCTTTCCTCTCCTCTTGAAAGTCTAGAAGTGGCTTAATAACACATTCGAAGGTTGAAAAAAATGCGCAAATATTCCATTTTGGATTGCAGACGTTTAATTGTTTTGGAAAAGTGCTACGAACGCTATATGAGGGGCGTAAAGGGGGGTATCTGCACGGAAGAACGCGAAATAAAATTGCCATTTCACGATGAACGAACAATTAAAAATGTATTGCACGTTGATCTTTTAACCGATTTCCCGAAACACGGTGAATAACGACCCTTTTTCACGGCTGCACGTGAAATAAAAATGGCTAAACACGTTGCACGAAAATAACCCTTTACCACCCTCCTATATATAACACAAGTAAAAACAAACAGTCTTGCAGTAATCTTTTGAGGGGCCACGTGTGTTCTGTTAAGTCAAAACATTGTCCTACAAAGCAACTAACAGCTGGTAAATAATTAGGTTGTACTCGTTCCGAATATGCATATTTTCCACTGGACGTACGTACGTTAAGCCGCAGCCAAACATTTATCATGCATGCAATGGTAAAGAAATGCACATATCGATTATTTCTGTTTACAATCTTTCGATTTACGTCTATTTGCTTAAAAATTCACTGACAAATATTTCGTGCAAATATTAAGAACAAAAAACCAATTAATTATATGACAAGTGAATATAGGAAGTCCTGACAAACATATAAAGCACTTTGGAAATTTTCACCGTCATAGTGTCAGAAAACAGGTTTATAGTTGATGTCATCACTTCTACGAGACACATCCAGTACAGTTAAATACACCCCCTTACGTTATCATGGAGAACTGACATGAACAATTTTGTTCGACGTACTTACAAAAAGTACATATACAATATATGTACATTGTCGGAACATTTTAAATTTATTTGTACGGGCGTTAGAAACAGGACGAAAAGCGAATATCGCCGACCATTTCTCTTGTTTCGTAGCGAGTACAAATACATTTTATATTTCCGACAATGTACATTTATTGTTTTTATCCTGCAATTTACACCCGGCATTGTAAGGTTTAGTTGTTCAAATCTAAATAGTTGTCTTTGATTTTTTCAAAGAAATCGGCATAGTTTGAACGCGGACCGCGAAGAGGACCCCAAAATGAACTGTCACATCAAAAGAAATATTCACATTACCGTTTGTTCAATATGGAAGAGGGGTAACAGGAGACTTTGTTCGTACAAGTATTTGTACAATATCTGGCTCATTGCAGGATAAATCAAATTACGGAAGTTGTTAAAACCTACTGGATTCTAGTATTAAAAAGTATAAATAATACATATTGAGAATTTTGCTACAATTCCACGCATTTGGATAAAATCAAAATCGGTTATTCGATGCTATCTTTTTGTCAACTTTCGCATCGGACATCTTTAACCAACATGATTTAATTTGTAACTGCAAGATAAAACAAAGCCTTATTTTTAACAGAATTTTTGTTTTTGGTTGGGAATGTCGTTCCTATTCGTATTTGCTATTGGTGTGGGTATACGTCAACGAGACGACGAACAGAAACACGATATCTAGAGGTCAACCTACAATCCTCGACAATAGTAGTGGGTCACAAAACCACATTTGTTTATAAATATGAAATAAAATATTCACTAAATCTTACAAACACCCTTTCGTCCACTAGTCTTGAATGTTTCCGATATGAATTAGTTATAGTTGTCATATTGAAATATCATATATAAAAATGTCGAAATCATGCACTTTTATATATCTTTACCTACCATGCCTACGGTATATATAGGGTATAAAGTAAATTCATTAACAAAAATAAGATAATTGTTAAATTATGTTTCGTTATGTTTTCGTTTCAGAGAACAGTTTGACAACATGGGTTCAGAATGGTTTAAGAATATGTGTGGTGTACAACTGACAGACAAACAAATGGAAAACATTCCACACACGAGAACAGAACTTGGAATTCATGTATCAACAAAATTTGCACAGATGTTTGGAATTATGGGAACTTGTATCGTAGGACCTATTGCAGGGGCAGTCAGTAAAGATACTAGAAACTGGCCCGATATAAAAAATAAAATGACAACTATGGGTACTGGTGGAGTTGCCTTAGGATTTGTCGTGGGGCCCCTTCTCACTTATTCCTTAATGAAGAAAGAAGAAGACTATCGAGTATGGGATCGGTGCTATCGAATACGTCATAGCAGAAATCAAGTTCATGTAGATCAATTATCTCTTTTAGGAACCGCCTGTGGAGCAGGAGTAGCTGCATATACCGGAAATGGTGCAGCATTTGGCGGACTTATTGGTATGACTAGCGGAGTCATATTAGCCGCTCTCTTCAACAGTGCAACGAAAAAGTCGAACAAAAATTAACAAGTTGTCAATAAGTCAATAGTGTGCCATTGAATGTATTTGTTATAGAAAGTAAATGAATGCTTTTTTATCTCGTCTGCTACGAATGTCACAGAATGCAGGACATGTGGATGTTAATTCTACGGCGACAGCGTAAACTTTGTATAAAGCTTTTAGAATTATATTTTAAAGGATACAAACATGTTTAACCCCGCCACATTCTATATGTTCCTGTCCCATGTTTGTAGCCTTTAATTCAGTGGTCGTCGTTGGTTGCTGTCTGTCATTTTTTATTTTTCGTTTATTGTTTGTCAAAAAAAACAATCCATTTACATGTATTATGATGCATATGCTCGTATTGTGTATAAGAGTAGTTTTACGCCGATAGCTTCACCTAAACAGAGGTGTACCAAGTCGTTTAGGAAGTAGTTCACATAAACAGAGGTATGCTAAGTCGTTAAGGTAGTAGCTTCACCTAAACAGAGGTGTGCCAAGTCGTCAAGGAAGTAGCTTCACCTAAATGGAGTGAACTTTGATGGATAGTTGTCTGATTGGCAATCATACAACATCTCCTTATATATTTAAAGAGGTATTCCAAGTCGTTAAGGAAGTAGCTTTACATAAACCGATAGTTAAGTCGTTAAGAAAGTAGCTTCACATACATAGAGGTATGCTAGGTCGTTAAGGAAGGAAGTAGCTTCACATAAACAGAGGTATGCTAAGTCGTTAAGGAAGCAGCTTCACATAAGCAGAGGTATGCTAAGTCGTTTAGGAAGAAGCTTCAATAAACAGAGGTATGCTAAGTCGTTAAGGAAGTAGCTTCATATAAACAGAGGTATGCTAAGTCGTTAGGGAAGTATCTTCACATAAACAGATGTGTGCTAAGTCTTAAGGAAGTATCATCACATAAACAGAGGTGTGCTAAGTCGTTTAGGAATTAAGCTAGCTTCACATAAACATAAGTATGCTATGTGTTTGAGGAATATATTCACTCAGTTATTTTATACTAGATTATTTTAGATCAATATTAAAAAATACAATTTATCAATAAATTAGAATAGACATATTTGATTGAATGATTGATTGTTGGTTGCTGAACGCCCAGTGGTAAATATTTCATGCATGTTCAGGACAAGAGAGCTTTTGTTCATTTAGATATGGGCCAAAGCCTTGCCTAAAAATGTTAATATACGCACATTTGCATCTTATATACATCTTGTAGAAAAACATATTTTTGGGTTAAGCCTTGGCTCATATTATAATCTCAATGACAATTTCTCAAAACGAGGCTATTTAGGCAGATTTTGCAGTTTTGCACACAATGCCAGAAGTTTAAGGCTCTAACGCAAATATGTAAGACAAAGTTATAAAAATATATAAATATGAAAACTGATGATTGACAATGTAATTGTGTATTATGAATATTTGAAAGGGAGAGGCGGCAAATACCATAGGGCTATTCAAACTCATTAGTCAAAGACAAATTGACAACGCCATGGCAAAAACGAAAAACTACGAAATGATAAACAGCAATCTACAAAACACAACATAGAAAACTAAATTATGAGCTACACGAACCCCACCAAAAAATGGGCGTGCTCCGAAAGGTTTAGCAGGTCCAGCTCAACATGTAACACCCCTAGTCTTACTCATTTAAGTAAAATTTCGGTGATAGGTTTCTTCCGGTGTTGTCACAATCGAGGAAAAGAGGCATGATGACTTCAATTTTAACACTTGGAACCTTGGTTTATAAATAGCTTCCGTGTAAGCAGCAACCCTCTGTCAGGAAAATCATGATAGAACACTAGCTCTGGAATATGGTATCAACTGGGAGATATATGTTAGCGGCAATAACTGAAATTAGGCATTAGGCTTAAATCCTAGGCAATAAGCTAACGCCTAGGCAGTAAGCCTATTGCCTAAATAATGTTAGGCATTAGTCTTAAATCCTAGGATTTAAACTTAAATCCTGAAAATTATGTCCAGGCATTAATGTTAATTCCTAAAATGAAAATGAGAGTAAATAAAAAGAAATTTGTTCAAAGTTAAAATTCATTTTGTACATGATAAAATAATAAGAACTTAAGTTTTTATATATGTCAACTACCTGAAATAAAATCATTAGTAAAATATTGATAACAAAACTCATTGAATAAACCACTTAAAATATATGTAAACTTGTTGGATAGTTGTTTCATTGGCAATCATACCACATCTCTTTATTTTAATATTGATAGAAAATTGTCTGGGAATTTATTTGTTATTAGCATTAATTCGGATATAACCAAAGCTGTAAATTCACGACCATTGTCACTTTGCTGTTTATGTTAATCCCTTAATATTGTGAAAACATCAATTAAAAAATTAGAAGCCATTTTTGAAAAGCACATTTTGGCGTAAGAGCTTTTACAATATAAAATTTTGTTATGTGATCTTGTTTCACCATAAGACAATATAGTTTCCATCTGTTTTTGATTGATAATCCATTAAATCAACCCATCCTCTTTTGTATAACTCTTTAGATAAAATGGGTTTTACTACTACCCCCTTCCATTTGCACTTTTTATCGTGTTACAATTTTAACAAAATGGAAGAAATAGTACAATGGAATCATGGGAATGGTTAACAAAGCCATTATTAGTTGTTTTCTTTATTGTATGACCTACAATAATAATAGGCCACTATGACCTTTTTCTGTATGTGTTTTCTCAAAATACCATACAGTTCCTCTAGAAAAAACATAAACTATTCAGTTTTCCTCATCATTCTTGTTTACTTTAGTAACTATGGTAACCAGTCATTCAAAACTCTAATGGTAAAAAATTCGTACTATTTTTAGTTGTAATAGTCTATAGCTGCCTTCTTTTCTGGTACCAAATGATCATTGTACTTTTGCCTTGAGCATATGATCTTTGATTTCCCCGATTCAAAATTATATTCCGCTAAGGTTCAAGGAATTTGTTCTCGCTTAAATGCTTTCAGATAGAATTTTCAATTCCCCCTTTTCCGTTAGACGCAATTACTTGTTTAAAACTATTATTTTTGCAATATTACAAAGAAATATGAATAAGTTCTTCTTTGAATACGAACAGTTGAAGACCTTTTAAATGAATGTATATCAATTTTTGGAATATGATTTTTAAAATATTAAACATAAAGAATATTTCACCGAATGTACATGAATTTGGAATATAAAACAAAATTCCCAAGTTTAACTTATTGCCTGAAATGACGTTCGGCGGTAGGTTGAATAATCTTCATCAGATTTCAGGAAATAAGCTTAATGCCTAAAAATTTCAGGCAATAACTTAATGCCTAGGCGTTAGCCTATTGCCTAGGATTTAAGCTTAATGCTTAAATTTCACTAATTGCCGCTAACATATATACTCTATTGGCAGATGCTGCTGGAATGTGAAAAATATTCCATTTGAATGTTTTTTCTCCATTGGAATCTTATTACATAGAATTCGAAATGGAATGTTCACAATTGGGAAACCAAAGTATGTTATTTGGCAGGTTTGTTATGCTTTTTGATTTTCGAATTCAGATCAACTAAAAAGTGGACTTGTCATACCTTTTCTTGTACCAGTCGTGTTAGTTAATTTATTAGACTTTTTCTTTTCCATTTGAGTGAATTCTCAGTTTAAAATGACTGATGTCTCAGACAAACCCGCTACTGTTCCAAAATCATTAAGAAATTTTGATATCAAACAAATAGCTGCACAGACCTGGTGGTTGGCCAGATTTTTGCCATTGATAATTGGAGGAAAAATTTAATAGAGGAAATGCTTTATTGGAAACCTATTTGCCTTTACGTGACATGTTATTCTATGTATGTGCTTCGGCATTTAATAGAGGACAAGTTTTGTTTATGAAGGAAATAATTGAGGACTTTCGTGAATATTATCGTCAAAATAATCCAAATGACAGTGTCAAGCCAAACTTATCCAAAAGACAGCCGCCAAGCCAAACTTATCCAAAAGACAGCGTCAAGCCAAAATTATCCAAATGACAGTGTCAAGCCAAACTTATCCAGATGACAGCGTCAAGCCAAACTTATCTAAATGACAGTGTCAAGCCAAACTTATCCAAATGACAGTGTCAAGCCAAACTTATCCAAATGACAGCGTCAAGCCAAAATTATCCAAATGCATCGTCAAGCCAAACTTATCCAGATGACAGCGTCAAGCCAAAATTATCCAAATGACAGCGTCAAGCCAAAATTATTCAAATGACAGTGTCAAGCCAAAATTATCCAAATGACAGTGTCAAGCCAAAATTATCCAAATGACAGTGTCAAGCCAAAATTATTCAAATGACAGTGTCAAGTCAAAATTATCTAAATGACAGCGTCAAGCCAATATTATCCAAATGACAGTGTCAAGCCAAAATTTCACTTAACTCTTCACTACCCAATGGAAACATTACAGGTTGGTTGATTGATTATTTGCAAACAGTGAGATTTGAGGGAATGCACAATTATTTTTGAGGAACTTGTTTGTTTACAGAACAAAAAACAAAATCAATGTTCGTAAAAGAGAGGCTAAAGATACCAAAGGTACATTCAAAGTCATTGTAAGTTACATGCACTGCGCCACCAATATCATAAGTGCATTTTCATTGCAAGTGACAATTTTCTACATTCAACTGCATGTCAGTTTGGTCAGTTATACCTGTTTGCCTTTTAAAAGAAGAATACCAGGAGTTGCTTAGAGAGGCCTTGTATATTTTTATTTGTCTTTGTATATTTCTAACCTTTACGGTTTAGTCAATTTTTGGTAATATACTTTTGGCGTAGTTCGGTATTTACATATCCTTCCATTGTGTTATTGTGCTATGGTTATTTTTGTATTCTTGTCTTTCATATTTGCTTATTTCCTTTGTTTATAGAATGTTGAAATGGTTAGTTGTTTTTATAGTGATTAAGATTATAACACAATGTTGACTGATGTACCCAAATTTTTGACATTTTTACATTATGTCTGTTTGTTTTGCTCACACATTGTTGTCAGTATAATGGAATTCTATGCGACTGTCATACAAGTGAGAGGTTTAGCTATAAAACCAGGTTTAATCCACCTTTTTCTACAT